ACACACACACACACACACACACACACACACGGTCTGGTGCAGCTATCTTTATTGGGACCTGGCATTGACTTCCATTACATTTCTACAGCCTAACCCTGACCACAAACCCTAAGGCTAACCTCACAGGCACCTACCTGACCCTAAAACTAACCTAAACTCAACTCACACTTAATCCCCGACCCACCAACGGCATGTCCCCTCATAGGGATTAGATTCAGGGCCCCATAAGTACCAGCCAGGTCCCCATAAGAAGCCTTAGGGCCTCACAAGTAGGTGTGCCAAAAAAAATAAAAATAAAAAACTGTCCCACGACATAAGGAATACCCGCACGCACCCACACACACATTTCAGGTTTTCTCTGATTTTTTTTTCCTGTGTTCACATAAAGTACTTGTACATCATGCATACTTATATCAAGTGCATGTGTGTAAACACACACATTCAATCCCAAACAACTTGAAACATGTAACTTTGGTCCCAGAGCAGAGAGTTTATCAGAAAGTCTGTTATTATCACATGCAAAAGGGTTTATGAACATATGCAGAGGTTAATACTGTGTGTTCAACAAGAACCCAGTTTTCCCTTCACAACAAGAAGGACAGACCAGAAGAAAGAAAGAAAGAAACACATCTCAGAAAACTGACTGAACTGAATGCAGATGCTTACAGGAAGGTAAAGCTTCTAGTAGACAGGCTTGCTCTTGATCAATAGATTTAGGTTTTCTTTGGAAGGTCTTTCTGTCATTGATTTATTTATTTATTGGTTAGTTGTTGTTGTTGTTTTTTACTTTTATTTAAGCCAGTAGAGGACTACCTTTTTTTTAAAACCATGTAACTGACTTATGGTTCATCCTAAATTCAAGGGATCAACCAATGTTGTGTTAATGCACAGCAGACAACTTAGCAGAAAAAAGAAAGAAAAGAAGTTTAAACTAACTTTAAGCACTTTGTTACCAGCAGTCTGTCACAAAGTTAAGTATCCTGATGCATCTCAATAGTCCATAAAGAGAAAAAAATGAGTAGACCCTCTGGGTGGGTTCTTCTTGGTTTGTTTTTGTTGAATTTATAAAAAGCAACAAAAACATTGACTGTATATAAAGTAGGATTCAGCATCAATGTCATTTTCTAAGAACTATTATGAGAAAATGTCACAAACATTAAAATAMGTTTTGTTGTGCTTTCTGTAATAACTCTTCTCATGATAAAGATGTAATTCAGAGTTTTTTTAAAGGCAAAAATTTCAACTCCAGTTTCAACTTTCTCATCTGAAAACAATCCTTTTTCTTTTCATTCTCCAGAGATGAGGCCTTGCTGACAACTATTTATCTGACCTCTGAACTGAGGTTCCTGGTCATGMGCCCATGCATGCTTCTGCAGCAGATGTGTAATAAAAGCATTGTTCAAAATGGTTTGTCTGAATAAAACAGGAACCCACTGAATTTCTTCTTAAAACTTTATTTTCAATATTTTGACTCCAATCAGGTTCAAAGTACAGCACTCAGAAGAGGCTCTGCAAAACACTAACCATTTATTTTTACTAAAATAATGAATTGATCTTATATAATCATGTGTGATCTTATTTCTCRTCCTGGTGGTTACACGCATGGAGGTGTTACCTTTTACATCAAATGTAGAACGTAACATTTTTGTTTAGGCTGAAAGAAAGAACACATGATAAGACACACACCAACTCTTTGTCTGCTTTAACCTTAAGAGCTGAAATGATAAGAAAGTATAAAATACAATACTGCATCTATCATTCAATAACCAGTTACAAAATTTCCTTCAGATGCATGTAAAAAAAACACTGATACAATAAAAAGTTACAGTTTTTACAATAGGGCTGCACATAAAAGCCAAGAGAGAAAGGTGCATAAGAATAATAATGATGCAGGCAATAAAGTTAACATATTTGGCTGGAAAAGGAAGAAAACAAAAGAAAGGAAGCAAAAATGATGGAGACAGAAAAGGTGAAAGATGGATTTCGGTGTGGTCAAAGTGAACGTTGTAAAGGAAAGAAACATAATCAGTTGTTTTTATCTGGGTACAAAAAAATCACAGAACACACTATTATTATTTTTTACTTTCAAACAGCATAAATTCTTTAATCTGACATAATTTTAAAAAATTTTGTAGAAAAATAGGCCTTTTTTTTTACTTAATTAGCTGGTTACTTTTTAAAGTGGTAAAAAAGTGCAAGCAACAGAACAAAACCCTGTAACAACTAAAACTCTGTTTGTATTGTTCAACCAGATTTTGCTTGAGCCATGATAAAATCTGGGACATGACTCTAAACTAATTTAACAGTTTTCCATTTTGTACCTTTCACTGTACGACACTGGACCAGACTTGTTGTCGTACCTGAGCCCGACAGTAATTCCTGGAGACCTCAGGGCCACGATGCTCACTCCCACGTACCCCCGTCTGTTTCCTCTCATCCTCCTTACTGAAGGTGAAAGGTCACTGAGACGTCGGAAGCATCCTGTGCGGTGATCTTTGTAGGGGTAATGTTATGCTCCCCAGCAGGAGAGCACCAGACAACACACACACACACACACACACACACACATAGATGAGCGCAGGAGACACGCAGTGCACCCGCTTTACGACCCGACTGGCTGCTCAGTCTGCTCGGGAGAACTAATTGTTTTTAGATGAGACGACTAGAGGAGATCGGCTCCGGAAGGGAGGACAGGAGGAGCRAAGAACTGCGGGAGAACCAGAGGGAAACATGGGCTCATAAATTAACTGCTGTCCCGGATATTTGGTTACAGGTTTAGATGAGAAAACGGCAAAACACCTTAGCTTCTTTTTTGTGTGTGTTTTTTAGGGCCTCCTCCTTCACTAGGCCACATACAAACACTTCATCCCGCCCCCTGCAAAAAAAATATATTGTGCTACATTTATTAAAGTGTCCAGTTGTCCATCCAGCAACATTTCAATGATACCCACGTCAAAGAGCCACTCTGCAAAACAAACCACTCAATAAGCTGGAGCTAATGGAGACTGCAGGTCAGACTTCACAGCAATATCATTACCACACACAAACACACACTTACACGCTCACGCTCCCATTGTCTGGGCAATACTTATTAGTGCCCATACTAACAGTTTGTCCATAAGTGACCTTAATTAAGTGGCTGGCAGCATTAGCTGCAGAGCTAAGAGGCTAAGAGCAATACATCTGCATGTGAATGTGTGTGTTTTTATGATAATGGCTTTGTTGAGGTGTGTACCAGAATACTAACAAGCGGCTGCGCGCAATCCAAAATGGATAAATAGGCAGTTGAAGTCGAGTGCTGAAGAGGAGATGGTTTAGATAAGTTACTCATTGTGAAAGAGACAAAAAAAAAACAGGGAGCAGCGCCGGGGGCTGCTTTAAAATGCACGTTAGCCCCGTTCAGGAGCACAAACGCATTCAGACACGGTCACACACAGCCCATCAGCTTCTGAAGCCCCATTCAGGCTGCCCCTGTCGTTTTTCAGCAAAAACAAAATCTGAGGGTAAAAATAATTCACTGAAATTTAAATGTGAAGGACACAAAAAGGGAAAACTACTTCAAACATGCAGCAGAGTCAGTCTCAGTGACAACTAAACGTGTTTTCAATCTACATCGGTTAATTTACTTCACTTTTATTGTCCTCATACCAATCAAAACACGACGCGGTTAACAACTACACCTTCGGCTCTGGTTTCTCTGTCGTTGTTTTTGTTGACGTTGCTAATGGATTCTCACCCTGTTCCCCCGTAAAGCAGCTCAGCCAGGGTCAGGCGGTCAGAAGTCACTGCTTTTTCTTTGATGTGACCCTGACATCCTGGGAGGAAGAGGAAACAGAGGAGGAAGAGGATTCTTCACGGACAACTGGTAGAACACTGACGTRAACACTCAGCAGCTTATTTTGTTTTTGCATGAATTAAGCCACATATGGATGAATTACATACAACGTGATTAGTGTGGATGGTGAAGAGCTACAACTGGGACTTTGTGTTCGTTCTCTAATTTGCTGTTTCGACCATTTGGCTTAAAAAATGTTTGAGTGTAAAAATAATCACCTTCTTAATGCAAATCTTAGTGGGCTTTTCATATTTCTCTAAATCATGGCCTTGTTCCATAATACAAAACTAATGCCGTTTAGCTTTATTATACATAAACCACTGTAATCTGATTATAACTGACTATATGTTTGGCTGTACTTTCTGTTTCAACTCTATATTTCCATTAAGCTGCATCAGTAAATCTTTGAGAACTTCAGATTTTTTGTTGTGTTAATCATGAAGATGTAAGCAAATAAGTGCTGTAGAATAAAGTTTTGACTAAATCTGACTGAATCAGTGACTTAGGTGCAATAGGCTGAGTGAGGTCAGGACCAAGTTGGATCACTGCTATCCTAAAACTACTACAATCTGAAAAATGCATTAAAATAGCAGCATAGCAGTTTATGCAAACACTGTTTCATAAACACTTCACTTTGCACTTCGTTTATTATTATTAGCATTTTTTTTTTTAATATTTTTAGTTTTTTTTTTTTTTTGTGCATAGAAATACCAGCAACAGCAGCT